CTTCCAGAGTCTTAAGTCAGTGGTTCCCAAGCTTGGGTGACCCAGGTGTTCTTGGACTGCAACTCCCAGAAGGCTCCACCATCAGCTGTTGCTGCCCAGGGTTTCTGGGAGTTGCAGTCTAAAGACACCTGGTTTACTCAAGGTTGGGAACCAATGTCTTAAGTAAACTTGGCTTCTAGGGAAAAAATTACAATGATCATGCAATTCTTGGACTATGTCACACTTTCAAAGCTCAGAAGGGCTCTGTTGGTTTCCACCAAAAGAATATTTTCTCACTGCATCATGAGTGAAAGCTCAGCTAGGACAAGTCCATCACAATCCAAGATATCCCAGGCAGCCTCTCCCCAGAGGCAAGGGCACCAGGACCCAATCCACCACCCACTATCAAGTCCAAAGGCACTCACTGCTCAGTTGGTTGTGACCAAGTGGAGGCAAGAGCACAGGGCTGGAGGACAGAGCCGGAACAAGGCACCAAAATGTAGGAGGCCAGCAGAAGCAAGTGCGAGGCAGGAACAGGAGCAGATGCAGGAATTCTGGAATGCAGGGACTTTGGAGCTCAGGAACAGCCAGACAGTAAGCACAGCAGGGCTGAAAATCTTTGTTGCTGAAACAAGTTCTGGGAGGGAGAACCACTCCTTAAATAGGCCTTCCCTCCAGGTTTCCAGGTGAGCTTCATAAGTGGCCCAGCAGCTGCTACATAGGCCAGGGCCTGATCCTGCAAACACCAGGCCCTTCCTGGGTCAGGCTGGTCCCAATCCTGCAGCTGCCAGGGTGGGTATGGGCCAGATACCGACACTAGCCATTTGTGCTTCCCCCACCCATTTACATGAGTGTTTTGCTCTGTATCTTTTCGTAGTGGAGATATAGAAGCGCACAGCAGACATCTTCTGAAAACAGAGCTCTTTACAGAAGCCCTTTCCAAAGTAGATTGGAAGAAGACAAGGGGAGAAGTTGGAGAAGCATGTTCACAAAATCAGAACCACGTCTTTGCAACAGTCCCTTTTTTGCACTTAGGAGTGTTTCAAGGGCCATAATGGTTGATATTGAAAGCTGTCTAGCTCAGTGGTTTAGATCTCTGGCTGCGGAGCAAGAGGTTGCGAGTTCAATTCCCCCCACTGGGCCACCGGGGAGGAGAGCCAGCCACTGAAGCCTTAGGCAAGGGAAAGGTAAAACACTTCTTCAAGTGCCCTGCTCAACTCTTGTAAACTCAAGCCTGTGGCTTCCTTTATGGAGTCAATCTCTCAAACCTTTCCCAGCATGATGGTTTTTTTCCAGGGAATCCTGCCTTCTCATGATGTGCTCAAAGTAGGACAGCCTCAGCTTCAACATCTTTGCCTCCAGAGATACTTCGGGCTTGATTTGATGCAGGACCCACTCATTTGTCTTTTTTGACAGTCCGACGCATCTGCAAAGCTCTCCTCCAGCACCACCTTTCAAATTTACGTAGGGTTCATATTTTCACCACGGAAAGAAGAATACTGCAGGAATTCTTTGTATTGCTTCTCCTTGTTCTCAGCAAGCCTGGGGGCCCCTTCTGGATGAAACCCAAAACCCGATGAGCTCAGTTTGAAAGTCTACAGACCCTTCCTTGACGTTGGATCTTAAGACAACATCCAGACTTCATGGCTTGAAGATCAAGCCACATAAACCGTTGCCCTGTGTGCTTCCCTGCAGTTTTCCATCTGGCAAAGGGATCAAGAAAGCTCAAATCCTTTCTGTGCCTTTTTGTGGAGGGAGATTCAGCCTAATTTAAAAAAAAACTTTTCCCCAATGTGGATTTCAGCAGCTCACAGTGTCTGAGCTGAAGACAATCTTGGCTTCCTTGCCCAGACTGGTACGTGTTTGTGCTAAAACCCATGCGATGGAACCCTATTTCTCTTAAACAGTCCCTCCTGTTAATGACATGCTCATATTTCCCTATCTCCCTCTTAAGTCTTTGAAGTAAGCATGAACAAGACCTGGCAATCAAAACAGCAGGGATCCAAATATGGGTTTATTCCACGCCATAATTTACTGGCCCCCTGCTTTCCACCACTTCTGCCAACCTCGCCTTCACCTCAATGAATCTTTATTTTGGACTGGAAATGAGCAGTCAATAGCATTTACTTCCTATTGACTTCACTCTTAACAGAGCCGGGGAGGGAGGGAGAAGGCGCTGAACTATTACTGACCTCTCAAACACACTTCTAATGACAACAGTCCATAAAATGAAAAAAAAGGGGGGGAGAAGTCATCTCCCTCTGCCTTGAGCATCTTCCAGCTCAAGTGTGTCCAAACATAGACACTCCTATGTCTAGTGTTTCTTGTTACGAGCCATCAAATTGGAACGGATTGACTGCAACCTCGAGAAAGTTTTCAAAGGAAGTGAGACATTAAGGGGTGGTTTGACCCATCCCACACCCCCAGGGAATGTCCACAGTTGCGTGGGGATTTGAACCCAGGCCTGCTGAGTCCTAGTCCATCGCTCCATCCACTACACCACACCGGGTATGTCTCTACTAAAGGAATACTCACTTCTCAGTAGGTCAAAGAAAGCTGTACAGACTGCCTTCTGCGCAGTGGGTATTTTATGCTAGCAGAGTGCAAGAAGACAGTGCTGAGGCTGTGGATGTTCAACAGGACTAACAGGTGTGGTGCTTTGTATTTGGGTAAGCAAGAAAGACTTGTCTTTATTGCTTGGGCAGATTCATTTAGGGATAGTGCAGGAGGAAAAGAACCCTAAACTTATGTACAGAATTCCCTATAGCTGGCTTCCATGCATAGCGGAACTGTGGTTGCCCTGGCAATCAAAACGGAGCAGCAGTTAAAAGGCATTGGTGGAATTTTTTTTACCCACCCCTTTATTAAAAGTTTAGGCTACATATAGCTCTCCCTGAATCCTTCGTGAAAATTTCCCTGCAGGTTCTCCAGGGAAATGGATGATAACGGGCTGGGTTCTCCTTGCCATGATGATCTTCCTGGGAGTCAGGGGTGCAGCTTCCCATTGCCTTTGCTCTCCCAACTAATAGATGAGGCTAACAGTCGAGGCCAGAAAGCTCTTCCCTTCATCTCTCCATAACTTCTTTCCTATTACACATGATGGCAAGCCATCTACTCATAGAATATGGCAAAGTCATTAAGGAGTGGGTAGAACTAGGATCGTTTATTTGCCTAAAGCAAACTTGAGAGTTCAGAACCCTTACTTTTCTTTGAGTTTGATTCCCCCCCCCCCAGGATCCTCCAGCCCATATGGTAGTCAACAAAAAATGTAACTTCTACATTCTGAGCAATCTTCCAAGACACATTTGGGGGTTCTTACTTGAGTTAAAGAGTTAATGTGTGCTGGGGGGGAGAGAAAAAAGGAGAAACCTTTCAAGAGGATCCTCTAATACCATGGAGTGAAATCAAGAGAGTATTTCTGAAGATGTTCACCATCTTGAAAATATTTTCCATGGCTAGTTGCCTAGTGCTCACTTTTTTTCAAAGCTAGAACGTTCTTTTATTTGCTCTCTGTTTTTCCTTGGGTCTCTGTGTGCGTGTCTCTCTCTATTTCTTTTCTGGATCAGTTAGGCTTGGAAAAGCAATTCCAAGTTACCTCTCATTAGACAGATGCTGTTGTGATGATTTATGGCTCGTTCAAGCCTGATCTCTACCCCTGCAGAAGATTGTCAGTGAGAAGCCCTAAGTAATCATTTGAAGCTTGGATTTATGATGTTTAACTTAGCTATTCTCAACAGCACTGTAAAAGGATGGTGGAGGGCTGATGGCCCTAAACATTCATCCCCTAGATAAGTCCAAATGCAATATGAAGTAGGGGCCAGAATTCATTTTCCCCCAGCTTGGTGATGGAGGGAGCCAAGGATATCATTTTTGAAAGACATTAATGGTGGTTTCTTTGGTGACCATCTGTAAAATGTGCAATCTGCATGCATAATGTTCCTCTCAGGGGAGGTTTGGTAGAGCTGACCAATCTAAGCTAGCTTTTAGTTTGAACTTTACACTATCTGCCCAAGGTGCTGAAGTCTATTTCCAAGATATGGTCAGCACCATGGATAGTTCCACTGAGGTTCAGGCTATAGCTCTTCACCACCCCTGCAGAATCACCAGCTTCCATTGCTTCTTCAACTCCTGCATCTCCTAGAAGTCTAAGAAGCTGCCTGATGTAGAGTCAAACTATGGATCCATCTAGTTCAAGACTATCTACAGAGTGGGAGACTATAGCCCTTGAGATGCTGGTGGACTACGGTTTCCAATATCTCTACCAAGCCTTTCTAATGATGTTGCATGATGGAGTTGCATCTCATTAACACCTGAAAGACCTCACATTCTCCACCCATGGTTTATGCTACTTGGAGTAGATCTTCACCTTCAGACAGAAGCATTTCCCTGCTCCAGCTGGAGGTGCTATGAACGGAACTTTGCTCCTTCGCTCTATGAATGGGCTGCAACTCTTTCATTCAAAAGCCCTTTTCAGATTCTTATTTAGGGCTGTCAGGTCAGCATCTTCCTGCTCCTTGAGATTGACAGGCCAATCTCAAGGGGCAGGTCCTTGTGACATCAGCAAAGGCAGTGCAGGCATAGATTTGGACAGAGGTGGAACTGCTTCTGGCTTGGCTCACTGTGGAAATAGATACAAGGGGGATCTGGGTATGTTAGCCCAAAATCTGCTTAAAGCTGAATTATCTAGATAGCTATGGCAATCCAGAGCCTAGAAGGTCCATATCGGCAGTCTATAGGAAGATCTTTCCCCATGCTCTGCTTCATTTCCTTTATCATTCCCTTTTTCTCTTTCCCAAGGCCACAAAGACTGGCCCTTTTGCAGCTTTCCCAAGGCCACACAGACTGGCCCTTCTGCAATACACAGTGGCCACTGAACTCCCAACCTTGGGCTCTACAGCTAGATGTCTAAACGACTGAGCTATCTAACCTGTGTATCTGTATGTGTATATATATGTGTGTGTATATCTAGCTGGGCCAGTCTGTGTGGCCTTGGGAAAGCTACATACTCCCGGGGCACCCCCAGAAAAGGGGAATAACAAAGCATCACTTCTGAATATTCTCTACCTGGAAAACCCTGGAAAGGGTCAGCATTGAAACACTATGTATTAATATCCCTCCTTTATTTGAAGGTTTATCTAGCTCACCTCCTTCCTGCTTGATCCTTACAAAAGCACAGTTAGATCGGTGAAATTTCCAAGGTCATCCAAAGAATGTTTGAAATTGCTGGTGTTTGAAACCCCTCTCTCCCATGCAACACTTTAACCATTACACCTCACCACCCTGACTAAACCCCCTTTGGGGTTGGCTGGCCTCTGACAGGAAACGCCATCCTTTCTATTGAATCCAGGCTGTAGCTCTACTCATGCATCACCCCTGGATGTGTGTAGGGTTAAAATGATGCCGAGGCCATGTGGATACATGTAATGTCTGAATTCCCCACCCCACCCAGAAACGAGGCAGACCCTCTTTTGACCTATTGCAAAGATTGGTAGTGAATGCCCGGAAGCCCAATCAATGGAATATGCATGTAAAGCATTCCCATGATCAGCGGCATGGCCTCCCACTCTCAGAGACACTAGAAGCACACTTGTCTGAGGGTGTTTCCAGGCTGC